GGGGGGAAGGCTGTGATAGGGGTCTGGAAAGCTATTGCAAAACACAGAATTGCATAGTAGACATACAGAAGCAGGGTCTGTGCCACACTGTGCCACAGGTTAGCATTACACTGAGCGCAGTAGAAAGTACAGCAGGGCCTGAGATGGTGTACCGGGAAGCATCGTGCCTCTTCAAGCACAGGCTGTTTTAGGGTGGCAGTGATCCCCAGGTCAGGGGCCAGCTCTGGCCACAAACTTGGGTCTTATGGCTGATTGCATTTAGATAGTGTAATCTCTGTAGTTGAAGTGGAAGGTGAAGCAGAAAGGCTCTTAGAGGCGTAACAGCAAGGATTAAATCCATATTCATACTCTCACTGACTGCTGGGCTGGGGTCCTGCCCTAGAGAGCAGCACCACCACCATGAACTCTAGGGCTTGGGTCTGCACCTGCAGCCCTTCAGGTTGCTTGGTCATAACTTACCCTTGGTAGCACTGCCAAAGCCACCAGTGGTGGGGCAAGGTTTCAGTCGTTCTGGCCTAAATGAACAATAGAAGCAGCTTTTCTCTTCAGACCTTGTTTACACAAAGCTGTAATAACCCTCTCCTCTTGCAGAGGAAGCAGCCACAGGCCGTGCATGGTGCTACTCCCTTGTATTTTTCTGTTTTAGCAACATTCCCAAGTTGTACTAGGCCTAGGGAAAGTTTGAGGCAAGAGTTAAGACCAAGTTTTAGATGAGGCAGGAAAGCTCACATACTGTCTGTGCCTGGGTATGAACTCAGAGGCAATGCCTGGCTTGGGCCCTCTGAAAGATGGATGCTGCTGCTTGAGATGACAGGCTCTGCCCAGCACTACATCCCACAGTTCACATGGTGTTTGGGGACAACTGGTAGGAGCATCCCGAGGCTTCCTGGCCAATTTACTAGCCCGTGCTAATAGCTGGTGGGTAGTGTCAGGGCAAGGCCAACTACTTGCTCTGGTGGCACAGTGCAGCCACCATCTCTGCAGCACAAGGTACACCAAGGCTATCAGCCCTGGTCAGCAGCAGAGCTATTGCCTCTTCCCAAAGGTCCAAGTGCAGCCGTAATACCCTGGGTGCTGGCTCCCACCATGCTCCACTGCTCTGCCCCTGCGCGATTTCGGTTGGATTTTGTGTTGGAGGTGTGCTGTGCCTGCATTTGGAAATGCTCTTGCACAGTGAGATGTGGCAGCTGGTGCATGTACCTGGCAGGAAAGGCACCATGAGCCCTGGGGTAGACTGGCATGCCTGGTCTCCCCTGGCATGGTGCAGATGGCTATAGTGGGGGGTATTTATGCCATCATAGGAATAAAACAGTGTGGTTTTTTTTTTTTTTCCTCCAAGTGGTGTTTCCTGGCCTCCTTTGCACTCAAAGAGCAGCTCCAGCGTCTCCTGCCCCAGTGGGTTTTGCTCTGCTCAGGTGTGTGCCCAGCCAGTCTGCTTGCCACTGCCTCACTGGGGGCTGTGTGGGTGGCCCCAGGGCAGGGGGGTGGGGAGGCAATGCTACCAGAATCTGATGTGGAAGGAATTGAGCAGACTGATTTATCTGGAAAAGCAAGCAGGCTGGGGCCCACTTTGTGGGCCAGGTGCCTTTGCAGTTGCTGGTGAGGCTGAGAGCAGAACATGGAGGGGGGTGGCTGGAATGAGGGATGCACATGCCTTTCACAGCAGGGAGCAATAAGCTCCCTTCCCCATCCTGAGCCCCTGCTACAGGAAGGGGAGGGAGTGGCAGGAAGCAAGATGCTCACTGGCGGGGGCTCTACACACCAGCAGCCATAAGGGAGGCAGAGCCTCTGAATGGCTTTTATCATAGCAACCATGAGGGCCTCTGAGGCATGGGTGAGTGACAGTGGTGCAGAGCTGGGCCTGGCACCACTGTTCCTGCTGCTTTACCCATATACATGCTGTGGAGCACCACTGGAGCTGGTCTTCACCATTCCCTGCCTGCCAAGGTGCTGTCCCTGCCACCACACGTGCCTGGCCCTGTTCCTCTGGCCAAGCTCATACTTGACATCATCAACCCCTTGTTCAGCTGAAGCATTCACATGGCAAAGCAGAGGCCTGCAACCAGTTGTGTTACTCCTGCCCTTGGCAGGTGCAGGGTGCTCAGCCTCCTAGGAGGCTGAGGTTTTTTTTAAACCAGGTACCAAGACAGGACTTCCACCACACCCCCTCATTCCTCCAGCTCCCCCTTCCCAGGTACAGCTGGCAAAGCCACCATTTGCAGTAGCTTCCAAGCACACTGGCTCTCAGGGCTGGCTTGTCACAGGCAGCACAAAGTACATCACACAACACCTTGCCTGCTGAAGCCTGCCCCCCTGCCCAATACAGCCTGGGGCAGCAATAGCCCTTGGCTGGGTCAGGGAAGCTAGGACATGAGCCAGCACACCTGAGAGAAGAACACAGCACAAAGGTGAGCCACAGCAGAAGACTTGGAGATGCTCTAAGGCCTTCTTCCCAAGAGCTGGACCATACAAACCAAGCAGGGAGTAAGCCAAAGAGCTTGCAACTTGGGTAGTGGGCTACCAAAGCTGGGTGTCTCTGTACATACACACACATGCACATGTTCCCCTCCTCCCCCAACCCCAGCACCCTCCCAGCTCGGTAGAGCCCCTCCAGCTCAGCAGCCAGGCCCCTACTGCAGCAGCCACTTCTCACCAGCTCTTTGCAAACAAATCCTCCCAGGCCAGCAAGCACCTCTCCACTGGCAGTTTCAGGGCTTTATTGTCTCACGGTCCTGGCTACAGAGAACCTCCTGTCTTGTCCAGCAGCTATGGTATGAGGGTGGGAAGGGTTGCACTCCTCCCTTTTGTCCACCCAGCACAGCACTGCAGTGTCCGTGGGATCTAGAGGCTGCAGGAGCTGCAACTGTCTGAAAACTGGCACTTAAGGAATCCTGGCTGGGGCCACACACAGCTCCTCTGCCCCCATGCTGGGCACAGGCAGGCAGGGAGTAGGGGGCACTCGACCAGGCATGGCTGTGGTCCGTTCCCGCTGTCCTCGGTGGGCTGGGAGAGTGGGTCACTTGATTTCTGTTATTTTTTTAAAAACGTGTTTCTAAATCTCGTCGATTCTGGTTTCTGACCAGATACTTTTAGCTTTTCTGGGTTACTTTTTTCTTTTATGAGCAGTTTTCGATTTTGGCCAGAAATTGCTGTGCCCACCACTCCTCCAGGTCGATGGGAACAAAGTCTGAAAGAGAGGGGAAGGAGAGAAAGAAAAAAGCATAGCAGAGCAGCTGGAGAAGGGAGTACAGCAAAGGGTGGTCCCATCAGAGCCATATTATTTGTCCCTGGGAAAGCGACACCCAAAGGTTCCCTGATCACTGTGCTCTGTCCCCCAAACAACAAGGCTGGGTCATGCCTTATGGGGACCCTCTCTTCCTGGATGCTGAAGGAGCTCTGAGGCTGCTCTCCAGGGCACATTCATTCCAGCTCAGAGCAGAGCTTGGCTGAGCTAAGCAGAGCTTGGCTGCCTGGAGACCTTGTTCCAGCTGCCTTTGGAGGAGAAGCAGGTTGCCCACCCATCCCTGCTGCATTCTGGCTCAGTTCCTTTTAGAAAGGGCAACAGGAAAGACAAGTCCCCAACAGCAGGACCCAGCACAGCAGGAACTGGTGCAGAGGGCTCCTTTCCAGCATGATGTTGAGCCCACCTTGGCAGCTGGAGGGGACATCTTTTCCAGAAGAGCCATAAATCAGATGCTTGTTTGGGCACCCTTGAGAAAGCACGGTGCTAGGTGCCAACTTCTCCCACCTCAGCACTCCCCAAGCTGCCTCAGCACTGACAGGACACCACGAGGATGGACATACCCCAATCCTCCAGCTATTCCAGCAGTACGCTCCACATGCGGGTCTGGACCCAAACACTGTCCTACCACATCCATCTCCACCCAACCCAGTTCAGCTAAGGCCTCCATCTCAACCATGACACCTCTGTGTGCTTAGTCCCACATGAACATTCCTATCATTCCTCCTTCCCATGCTAGGATACAACCCTGCTCAGCAGCTTTGTCTGTGACCTGGGCTGAGACCATACCAACTCATTCCACTGTTAGGCCTGCAGGCCTGACGCACCTTAGAGACCACACACTGGGACTGCTTTTCACTTACTTTTCAGTCCGGGGTTCGGGGTTTTCTCTACGTATTGCACAGGGCCGCACACGTTCTCCCCTCTCTGGCTGTCGTCTAGCTGCTGCTCTACCTGCTGCCAGGCTGGGAGAGGGAGAATGTGCGGCAGATGAGAGGAGCGAGCCCCTGGGGCAGGCAGAGTCCAGTAGCTCAGACCACTTCATTTCAGACCATGCGCAGCACACCAGGCTGGCCCTGGGCTCTCCCTTCCTATCCAAACATGGAGCAGGGCTGGGAGACCCTGCCAGCTTGTTCTGCCCCCATCTAACCCTGCTGGCTCCCCTCTTCTAGATGAGGCACTGGTTGGTTTGGGGTAAGGGAATTTTCCAGCCCTGGGACTGTGCTGTGCTGTGCATGGGAGAGGAGCAGTAGCCTCTCAGTCCTCCCTGGGGCTGGTGCAAGGGAGACTAAGAGTACAGGCTGGAGTTCCCTGTCTCTGCCATGCCCCAGCCGCCAAGATCCCTGATGCAAGGCAGAGTCTGGGCAAAGCAGCGCGGAGGTGATGCTGGCTGCCAGCACAGCAGCCAGCAGCAAGGGAAGGGAGTCGCAACACAGCACTCACCTGGGAGGGACCCTGCTCTATCCAGCCCCCCACCTGGAACACAACTGTTAGTGGGTGTCTGCACCAACAGCCCTGCATATGGACACTCTCACCTTCATAGACAAATCGGACATTCTCCTCATGGGCCAACGTGTAGCACTCATCAGGGGCTGAAACATGTTGCGGCAGCACCTGTGGTCTTTTGCCGTTCACTCTGTTGAACACAAGTTTCTGGGCTGGACTGTTGAGGAAAACAGACAAGAAAGGGGAGAAATGAGAGAAAGAGTCGCTTTTCCTACCAAGCTCCAAATGAAGAACATATTTGGAGCAAGGAAATAGGGTGCCTAGACACCATGGTTCGCCAAGTAATTTGCTGCACAGCCTTGGCCAAATCACATCATTGCCTGCTGCTTCACTTTCCCTCTGGAAAACAGCTGCCTGAAACCTCACATGAGCCTCAGGCCCTCTGGTCAGGGCCTGGCAAGCTGGGCCAAACTCATGGCTCCACTATGCATCTTGTGCATATCTGTAAGTTCAGATAGACAGTTACCAACTCACTGTCTGTCTAGAGCCCCACTCACACAAGGAGGTTCAGCGTGTGGCTGCTAAGCCACTATCCACTTGGAAAGGTTGGGATGATATGTCCGTACATCAGATTCTCAAAATTCCATCCTGCTAGACGAAGCGTTCAAAGAGCCTATGTGTGACCTGGCTCATGTTCCATCCCAACTGCTGCTCTCGCCTCTTCCTGTGCTCGGCCACAGGCTCCAAGAGATTCACCATCTTCTGGGTTTGCAGCAGGACAGCTTGTCCTGCACCCACACTAGACCTAGCACTGAGACCTGCCTGTGCAGGAGGCTCACATGCTACCCAAGGCAGGACACTGGGACTCAGTGGGAAGGGGAAACCAGGCAGCATGGCAGTTGTCAGCCAACACAGACAGCTCTGTCGGGGCAAGAGGTGAGATGCCAAACCTCAACCTCCCCTACTGCAGAGGCCAGGCAGCAGGGGAAGCGTGCCCAGCTCCAGACTCACAGGCAACATTCAACTACTTGCTAAGACAAGTGGCTATGAACCTAGTCTGGCCACATTCCACATCCGCTTTGCCACTGACCTCTTGACTGCCTTGTTAACTACCAATTATAGGTGTGAATTTTCTGTTAAACTCTTATTGGCACGGCACTGTACTCTCCCCAGTTGCTACCTTCTACTCTCCCTTGCTGGACGAGCAGCATGAAGGTGCAGAATCTACCCCATGTCCCCCTTTGCCAGCACTTTCAAGTCAGAAACATCCAGAAATGGACTGAATCCCCCTCCCACCCCAATAGAGGAGGACCTGGCAAGAAGGCAATGCTCAGCTCTTCCCAGCTAAGCATGTTCTGGAGCAAGGCAACACAATTCTGCAGTTCTGCTGTAACAGACTTTCTGGGTGAATCCCCAAAGCAGCAAGCCTGGCACAAGCAGAGCACTGCAACCAAACAGCTCACTCCCTGTAGAGGAAACAGCCTTTGTCATTGTGTTCATGCAAAGTACCAGTTTTATTCCTTTCCACATCTCCAGAGGTGAACATTTTTATTAGAGACTGAAGATCAACTCCCCAGGGGAAGAGCAGCAAAAGGGGCCTGCTCCAGTCTATGCTTCAGCACCAGGCCCAGGGCACATGCAGCGAGTGAACTGCTGATTCTGCTGCTCAAGGGAAGGATAGAGATGAACATGGCAGGACCTGTAACAGCCTCAATGCTCACTGCATTGCCCAGAAGCAGGCAGGCCCTGCATGAGGCAAGTCAGGCACTAAACTGAGCTGGGAGACTCAGTTTTCAGCTCTCCCTCTGAAAAAGGTGAAAGGGTTGATGCAGGATGACAGCATGTGTTAGGCTCAGGGCATGGAAAAAAGTAGTCTGGACCCAAAAATAGTGGGGAAAAGTGTGTCACACTCACATTGCTAGTCCATTCCTCTGTGCAGACAACTGACCTCTGTATTTTCTCATGCTCACTCTCACACATACACCACCTGCTAAACACTTACTTATAGTCAGGGAAAATACAACAGCTACTTATTTGATACTGCTACAGCAGACACCAATGAACCCGGGAGCTGCTGGCCTTTCCTTAGACTAGATTAAGGCCACAGTTCTAGAAAACATCTCACAAGAGCTCAAACTGTGAGTGAGCATGCTTAGGGGGTGTAGCTTTGTTATTCAGCTGGAGAAACCAAGGCATTCCTAAATAACTAATGCACAGTCATATGCATAGCTCTGAAGTCTAACTACTAGACAATACAGTGTTCTAATGCACTCCCTGGAACAAATGAAACGGGCAGAAATGAAGGGCTACCCTTTACTAGAGATGTTTCTTGAGGGTGAAGGGATACATTCTTACCTAACCAGCCTGGCTCAGCCCTGTCTCCCTGAGAGAAGGGGAGCTGCTCAACAGCACTGGACCACTCTGCCCCTAGGACTCCACTCATGAGAGCAGGACAAAAAAGAATTCAGCCTTAAGGGAAGGGTGTTTTCAAGTAGAGCAGAGAACAGCATAGATGGGGGTTTATATGGGGAAGCAGAGCATGGAGCAAGTAAGGGGAGCTCCTAGGCCTAAAGCTGAAGGCTGCTCATCTCTCTTTTCTCTGTTCCCTACACAAAAATGCTGTTGCTAAAAGAAAAAACCCATACAAAAAAAAAATCTGTTGCTAGAGCTGAAGCATCATAAAAATGGAAGTGGAATATTGTTTTGAATTGGGCAAAGGGAAGGGTCTCACTGCAGGCCACTGAATATCTCAACCTCTGACACCAGCATTTGCTGGAGCAGCCCTATTCCTCATTGCCATTAGCCTGAGGGTTTCCAACTCACTCCACAGCTGGGCCATGGCTGGACAGCACACTCCTGAGGCACTTCTAGAACTGAGGTGAAGCACTGTGGGAACTGGAATCTGACCAAGTTGTGGAAACCTGCTTCCTAGGAGCTAGGATCCCCTCCCAAGACTAAAGCCCTTAAACCAGCCCAGATCTGGAAATACACAGGTCCTGAAACTGGACACTTCAAAATGAAAGACTTGAGTAAGATTTAGCAGGGTGCTCTGTTCTGTGTAAAACCTTAGCAATTTCAGCTTCTCCACCCAACTTTGGGACAGGACACATCTAGAACAGTCATATTTCTCACAGGACAAAGTCTAACAGGCTCCAAGAACACAAAGATTAGAGTTTGCAGAGCAGATGAGACTTCAAATAGGCAGTGTGGTCCCAGCAAACACCTCCTCCTCCTCTCAGGTTCTCACTTGTCAACCTGCTTGACCAAATCTCAAAGCCATGAGCTTATCCCTGGACCAAGTTCCCCAGCCGCAACAAGCCTGCGGCAGGATGACACAACGCAAACCACACCAGGTACCCAGTATAAGCCACTGCCTGCGGGGCCACAGAATACCAGGGAAACATGACTCCCTGCCATAGGCAGCGTTACAGCCAGGAGGGTAAATAAATAACTTGCCTTAAGGACAGTAAATGTTTTACCAGTCATACCAGTTAATTTGTGAAAGATGACAGGCAAGAGAGGAGGATGGAAATGAGGCTTTTTATTCGTTTCTTGAAGATAGAGGAAACAGGGAGAAAGTTGTTAGTTTTCTCTCCTCCCACATTATTTCCCCAACAGAACGGATAACTGCCTGATCTGCCAGGGTCTATGGATTGCCACCAGCTCTCCAGCTCTGTGCTTGCTAAGAAAATCTCATTAAGAAGAGAAGCGATCACTACTCCAACTCCTGTCCAACATCTTCAGCTACATCCATTAAAAGTTGGGACAGTGTCCAACCCAAAACTTCATTTTATTTATTATGGACAGAATCAAAATTTCTCATGGGCCATCATGATGTTTAAGTGAATCACGATACATAGGCAGCAGCCACACTGAGAAGCCCCTGGTTGG